AACTGTCAAATTTGTGTAGAGGATCTTTCTCAAAAAAAAATTTATATGTGGTCAGATCCTTTTCTTCCCTTACATTATATTCTTTTGAATCTTGCTTGGCAAAGCTCTGTTCAGTGTAAGAATACAGAAATAGTCTCTAAATTGTTTCTCTACTGATTTTATAGTTTTCCTTTTTTAATGTATGTATCTTTAGTAAATCTGGGGATTTATTTTTGCAAGAAATGTGAACGTGGGTTCTAATTTCACTTTTCTTTGTTTTTCAATTTTCTCCACACAATCTACTACTAGTAAATTATCATTTTGTGTTAATTTGTGGGTTCTTCTCTATGATAAGCCAGATTTCCATTTCTGAACCTTCTGCTTATGTAGTAGATCTCTCTTCTTACATCAGTATTATGATGAATTTCATTAATTTGTTTCTGCAACATGTGTTAATATCTGGTAAATAAAAGGATCTCTTTTTTGTTCTTTTTTTTGCAGAATCTTTCCTAACCCTTTACTATTCCATATAAATTTTAGTATTAATGTATCATATTAAGATAGGATATACATTGAAATTATTTAAACTTTATATGCTATAAAGAATTATAATTAGAGAAGAATTACAATTATGTGTTTTGTCACTCATGAATGTGATATAGTTCTCTACTGAGTTTTTAAAAACAATGTCCTATTGGCTATTTTATCATTTCTTCTCATATAGCTCTTATATCTTTTTATTATTTTCCAGTTATTTTAGAGTTCCTAACTCTCATTTCAATTTTTTTCATGTTTTAGATTCTTCCTAAGTTTTTAGTAAATGCTACTTACATTTAATGCAATTTTCTTGTTGTTTACTATTGTTGTAGTGGTTTGATTTTCTTGAGCAAAGTAGATCATCATTTTATAATTATGACCTTCATCATTCTTCCCAGTTCTTATGGCTTTTGTTTCTTTCCCTGTCACTTTCCCATTAACTAGGACTGCTCACACTCTGCAATAAGTGTCTGTCATTCTCCTGACTTTAAAGGGAATCCTCTTAAGATTTCTCTAATGAGCAAAAAGAACACTTTGAAACCACTAAAAGAGATTTTTAGGGCTGGAGATTTAGCTCAGCGGCACAAGCTCCTGCCTCACAAGTGTAAAGTTGTGAGTTTGATCCCCAGTACAGAGACAGAGACAGAGAGAGAGAGAGAAAGAGAGAGAGAGAGAGAGAGAGAGAGAGAGAGAGAGAGAGAGAGAAAGAGAGTATTTCTTTATAATCTATGAGTTTAACTATGCGCAAACATGGACCCATTGAAAGCTATGATCCTGCTTGACTGATCCTTAGAGAAAGAAGTTGATTAAAATGTACAACATGCATATCATAATTCAGCAGACATTCTCTTTATTATTATCAGAAAATCAAAAAAGTACTGAGCCTACAGGGTGCTGACTATGGAAAGTGATGTTCTCATGTTATCTAAAATCTCTGTGCATTGAGCAGCATTGAAAGAAACTCAGTGTTTTCAAATGTACTTTGAGCAAGTAAGTGAAGTCATCAAGGCTGAATTCAAACCTTCCTCTCTCTGACTCCAAGTGTGGGAGGTTTTGTGTGTGTCTGAAGACTGTCCAATACAAAGGTGTTACCTCTGTTCATAGGGTCCCAGTATCCTGACATCCTCCTTTGTGAAATCTGCCATTCTATTCCCATAGCAGAGACCAGAGAGCAATCTCATACATCTGGGCACACACTTGGAAACACTTTTGAGACATCACACTTGAAAAACATCTGCAGGCAGCCCCTGAGGAGCAGGCCTACTGCTGAGCACAGTATGTATTGGGTTCAAGGAGCGCCCCCCCCAAGGGCAAGTCACCAGTACCTCCTCATCTCTACCTTAACCATGCTTGCTGCCTTGGGCTCCTAATTTTGTCTCTCCTATAGACTTCATCTCAGAAAACTGATCTAGATCCCTGACATTTTCACTGTGACCTGTTTGATATCGGTGACATTTCTATGTCAACGACACCTTCATCTTCTTCATGTCACTTTTCCAGACTTAAACCAGGGTTCACTCCTAGTCACTCATGGCTAAACTACTGCGATGTCCGATGCTGAGCAATCTTGCAGTTCCCCATTGCATATGGGGTACATCTGCACCCTTCAGTACAACATGCCAGTCCACACCCTACCTCCTCACCAGCATCTCTCCAGCCACAGCCATGCCCCGCTGGCACCCATGTAGCTGCCATTCATCTTGCAAGCCATGTGCACTCATGCCATGTCTTTGTGCTTGCTGTTCTCTTTAAGATTCAATTCAACTTTCTTCCTCTTTCTTTATCTTTTAAGCCCTTTTTCTTCCTTAAAGAACCCATTTAGTTGTCAGCCCTTCTGAGCTCTCCCTCCTTTACCAGAGCACTTAGTGATTCCTTCTTTTATGCTCTCCTTGCATTATTGTCTCATTACTTTTTGAGTGATGCTAATTTTCATATGTCTCTTCAAAGCAGCACATGCACTCCTTCACTTTTCCCCAGAAGTCAGTTCAGTGACAGGAACTTACTATGTGCTAAAAAGACTTTGTGTAATATGAACGATATCTAGGAAGATGGATGTGGTGATCACATGTGGGGTGGCTCACAATGAAAGCCTGAGTGGAGGGTACCCAGAGGTGATCGCTCTGCCCTAAGGACTGAAGAGGAATCAAGGGGTGTGAGATTCCAGGAGACAGATCCTGCAGGCTATGAACAGGAGCAGAGGAAGTGGCAATGGGAGAAGAAAACTATTTAAATTGACTCTGGAATATTGAGTGGGGACTGAGGGCCTGTAAACAGTAACTGTAGTAAGAAGGAGGTGAACTTTCCAGAGAGCCATTGTGGGTCTGAAGTAACCCAGGACCTATAGAGCCAAAGTCTCACAGGCCAGCAGGAATGGGGCCGGATATAGGTAGCAGATGTGATTTAAGACAGATGATGTTACTATGGGAGGAGCACAGAGAAAGGACTGAACTGGTGCTGGGGAGCAAAAGGAAGAAAAAAAGGACACCAGGAAGGACAAGGAGAGAGAGCCAGAAGCCAAAAACGATGTGTTCCAAAGAGTAAAAGTTCAATGATATCAAATTCAATGTTGAAGATGAAGCCGAAGGAAAGGCTGCTGGGTTTGGCCATGGGATGACACTGGTGACCTTGAAGAGAGCCGTTTCTGAGCAGAGAGGGGGTGGGGCACTGCCGGATGTGAGGGAGAGGTGGGTGGGAGGAAGCAGAGGTGGCAGGTGCTGTCCTTTCTCAGGGACCTTGACAGGGTAAGGAGGGAGGGGGCCCGCTGGGCGGAGAGGCCAGGATGGCTGTGATCAGTATTTACAGGGCGGCTGTCCCCCCTCTCACACCATACACCTACCATCCCCTCTTTATTTCTGTTCTGTGCCTATCACGTTTACCTTCCCTAGAGAGCAACCTCCAGGGCTTTCTGCCTCCATTTCTCTACATTGTTTCCTTGATGATGGTAAGACCAAGTGTCTTGCAAGGGCTTTTCTCATCCTATCTCTGCCATGGTCAAGGAGGAAATTAAATTCGTTGCCTCATGCCGGCTACATGGTTCTCCATGCAGGTGTTTCAACCTCCATCAGGTCAACTCCCAAGTCCTCACCTCGTCCCATTCCTCCAGAGCCTGGGGTAGCGCACACTTCTTCAGCCTCTGTCTTTCCTGTTGTCCCTCCTGCTGGGCAGCTGTCTAGCCCCCTGCCTCCATACTGCCGAGCCTCTCTCTGAAGTCACTCTCTCCGGATCTGCTTTTTAAAATTCTCATACTTTTCCTTTCTTTCTCTTCCTATAATGGAAATGGATTTCCAGAATTGGTTTCTCTTATAACACACAACCTTTTATTTCTTCCTTAGGCAAGCATTTCCTGTTGGTGATGGGGCATGCTCCAGGAAAAGCCTAAAAAGCTCTGCCTCTTTTAAATAGAGTGCACACCTGTGTCTGCGCCCTGTGCAGGCTGGAGCAACCTCAGGTCATTGGTAAATGCTCCCTGCAATATGCTGAATTCAGGTTCTCTAACTTTTCTGCTGTCTTTAACACTGTAATGTGTTTTAGGAACAGGTAAATGGGACTTCTTATATTTTCTGTTTCTCCACATATGTGTAACACACACAACTTTCCTACTGCTCTCTGAGGTCTTGGAGAGGTATAGACTAAAGTGGGGACATGGGGAGATGGTTTTTGGTGCACAGAGAAACTGGTACCCCTCCTCTGATGGTAGATGGACACCCTGTTGTTTGCACCTTCCAGTAGATCTAGGGGTTGAGGACACTGTCAGGGCCTCACAGGTTGGCACTTGGAGGTGTCTAATTCTACCCCTTATCATAGTCTGCCTGAAATTGTTCAGGTGTGGACGTCTTTTCACTCTGGCAAGATTGAACAGCAACAAACACTGGCTGTATACACCAACTCTGTTGCAGGTTCTTCACATATTGATTATATTTAAAACTCACACAAGCTCTGTGTGGCACTGTTACTCTCCTCATTAGCTTTCTAATGACCAGTTCGGTTGCAGAGACTGGCAGACGTTCACATGGCTATTGTAGGTGAAATTAGACTTTGGACAAGATCAGCAGAGCTCAGTTCTGCTTTGTCACAGGCTTCTGAGGGCTGGGCTAGATGCTTTCAGTCCCTCCTACCCTGATGACAGCGCTTCCTCCTTTGCCCATTAGAATGAAATTGAAGATGAGTGCACCTTCCTAGCTGCTGAGTATAGGATGGAAAGTGCCACCCTTGTTCCTGCTGATGCCCAGTGCCAGCCTAAGCCCCCTACAGAGCTATAAATATGTGCTGCGTTGTTCTCCTTGCCAAGGCCAAACAACATCAACTCTCCTGCCCCTAGGGAAGCTGATAATTAAATGAGGGATATCACTCAAACAAAGCCAAGCCCTGCCTTGGGCTGTGGCTGGGTGACTCCAACTGAATCATCAAAAAGGTATAAATTCTGAGTGGCCTTTGTCATAAAAGAACCTAGTGACCAGGACTGATAGAACCAGTGCAGCCTTGGTCACCAAGAAGGAGGTGCCCTCAAAACTCAGACCGCCAAACAGCCTCAAGTGGCAGGCTGGGACAGATTCCACTCACATCTTCCTTCCCCTCTCAATGATCCAGTGATCCTTCCCCTCTCTTCTGTCCACCTGTGGAATACAAGCATGAAGTTTCAGAGAACTTTTGCATGATCTTTTGAAGCTGAAAGATGCTATAAACTTTCTTCCTAGAGCAATGAGCCAAGATTCAGAGAAGTGACTACCTGGAGACATACAGTAAGTAAGACTCTGACCGTGGAGGCCTCCTGGCTCCAGGTCCAGGACTCCTGCTGTTCTTCCACAGCTGCCTCTCTTGGCAGCAGTTTCAGAACTCATAAGGATAATGTACCCATCTTTTTGCTCTCTCTCTCCTATCTTCTCAGGGGAAGGGTGACCAAATCTGGACTGTCCTCAGGAGAATCGTAAAGTTGATCTACAAACTATGTAGAAGGCACTTTGGAAAGCAGTGCTTAGGAGGAATTTTCATGCTTCCATAAAGTTGCCAAGAGTGTTAGTCATGTCCCAGTAGTTTACAGCAAAAATGGCCACTACCAAATCCAGAGCTGACACTGCAGGGGCTGCTTATCAGAGAGAGGTCCTCATAGATTTATAGAGGGCATATCACAGAGCTCAACTGGGAGCCCTCTATAAATTTTAGGCAGGATATAAATATTCTTACTTTAAATATATTCATCAAAGTAATAAAATCAATATTAATCTTAAAATTACTTTTAAGATACTGATTGGCACTTGAGCAGAGATTTGCATATGCTAAGGTTGGCAGCTTGGCCTGGCTCTGCTTTCTGATTCAGATTTAAGAAGCTTAAAGAAATCCATGCTGTCTGACACTGGAGGACATGGGAGGACATTGGAATCCATGACCAGAAGAGAGATGGCACCATTATGACTCATTTTGCTTCCTTCTCAGGCTCAGGATCCTTCTACATCATGCACAGAACCGCCATCTTGTTTTCCTATCTCAGACTGCCCAGGCCTAGGGTGAGTTTGAGGAGGAGTACTGAGAAGGAGGAAAGAGTGGGCTTGAGCATTCAGTGCTAGGGAGGACTCTGTCCAAAGACACCTCCCTACATATGGGCATGGATTTCCATTTCTTGTCTCCCTGGGGTAAAAAAAAAAAAAGGACATTCTCCATTCATTCATTCATTTGACTTATACTCCCTTATTCTTTCTTGTGTTGGGCTGACAATGTATCAGGAATTTTCTTAGATGCTGAGAATGCATCAGTCAATCAAGGACAAAGCCCCTCCCACTATGTAACTTCCATTCTGTTGGATGTGTCCCTAGTAGGGTGTTCATTGTCTGAACAGCGAGATAAGCAATGAGATGCCCAGTGAGTTAGGTGATTCTGAGTGCTCTGTGGTGGAGGAAATGCAGGCTAACAGAAGAAGGGGGCAATTTTAATTAGAAGCAGTTAAGGTAAGCCTTCCCAAAAGCATGGTATTTGAGTAAAAACTTGTAGGATGTTGGGGCTGAACTTTGCAGATATGATGGGTGAGAACATTACAGGCCAAGGGAACAGAGGTGCCAATTTCCTAAGCAGCAGCATCCTGACATGTTGGAGTAATAGTAAGATGATTTATGTGATGGTGTGAGGTGGACAGAGATGAGGCAGGAGAGGCCAGAGGTCTTGGAGTAGGTGGCCTCTTGGCCTTTTGAATCATTATCAGGACCTTAACTTTTCCTCTGGGAAAATAGCAAGGTGAGATTTTGATCTGACTTCTATTTTGACAGTACCACTTGGTGGGCCACTTTGCTGAGAAGGAATGGTAGATGCAGAAACTCTTACTAGACATTTACTCCAGGAAACGAGTGTGGAGACTTTGATCAGGGAGGTGGCAGTGGAAGAGTTGAGGCATATCAGTGTCTGGAAATGTCATGCCAGATTGGATGTGAAGTGTAAGAAAAAGAAAAAAACCAAAGTGATTCCAAGGCTCGCATCCTGAACAACTGGAAAGATGGAAGCACCATGCTTGCAAGAGGGAAGACAGAGTACAAGAGGTGAGGGAGGCAGGACAGAAGTTCTATGTTGGACTTGAGCTTTGAGAGGCAACATGGAGCAATGAGACCTGGCCTGGCCAATCATTAGCTAGGTGACCCTGGGAAAGTCACTTCCCCTCTCAGGTCCATCATCTTTTCTCTTGGGAAAAAGATAATAGAGCATTACAATGCTTGAAAGTACATGGAGATTAGCATGGGATCTGGCATAAGCTTGAACTAAACAAATAATGGTTCTGGCCATGATCCACAGCATAACCAGGCAGAGCTAAAGAGCAGCAATCAACATTTTCCAGTCTCCAACAGCAGAGTCTATGTGTGATGGGCATAGACTTTTCCATAGACTTCTTTGAAGTCTTTAAAGGTCAGCGCTTTGCCAGCTGTCTCCTAGAGACAAAAGGTAGCATGATTTTCTCCACCATTGCTCTTTGTTTCTTCCTCGTCTACTCTAACAAATGGCCAGAGGGTGACTCCCTGCTTGGCTGGGACAATCCCAGGAGACTCCCTTGCTGCGGGCAGATTTGACTTGAAGGCCCCTATTATAGAGAAAGGAACCCTCCTGCCACCTGCCGAGGGTTCTAGAAGACCAGCTGTGGACAGAAGCTGGACCTCACAGCCCCAGTCCTACCCCTATTTGACCATATGGGCTTGCTAAAGTAACTTTTCTCTTGTCCTGATGAGAATAATACATGGCTTTTTCCAGATGTGAATCATACCCTGGGGGCATGGCTCTGAATTCTGATCTGTCTTTTCCTACCTTTGTGGTCTTGTACAAATTGCTTAATAGCAGGTGCTTCAGTTTCTGCATTTTAATGTGATGGTATGATAATATACGCCTCATAGTGTGATTGTGACAATAAAATGGAATAAATAAAAATTTTTAAAACAGAATGGCACATATATAAGTTCCTTAAAAATATGGTCTAATATACTTGCACAAGAAATACACAAAAGGGCCTCTAAATGTTATTGTATATATTTTAAATATATGACAGTTTTATTAAGCTTGCCTTGAATTTAGGGAGTTCCTGAGTGATTCTATGATTCTCATATCAGACTCCCAGCTTTTCTACATTAGCATATACGAACCTCTACATACACCCAAGTAATTAAGCATTTGTTTTAGTAATGGAAACTTGCTTGGCACAAATAATCTCAGGAAGAACTTGCAATTGATTCTTTAACCAATGAAACCCATCTCCATATTGTCTCACTTGTTACCCTGAGTTTTCTTTATTTGTAAGTAAATTTTCTTGGTTCAAAGTTCAGTGCCACTGGTCTGTCTCTGTACATTGTGCTTGCCATGAAATCAGGCTACATAACTTGCAGGAAGTCAAGGTGTACAACATATGAGTTGATAGCTTATAAACAACAAAGGTTTGGGCTGAGTGTAGAAAACATGTGGAAATGTGTCAAAATGGAATTTTAAGAAGACGAAAGAAGTATCAGAGAGACTGAGATTTGTGGTACCAAGAACATTTCAAGCAATAGCAGTCTATGTGTGCTGTAAAACAGCATTCACAGGTCACCACGTATGTGTTTTGTGGCCTGATTAATGGGTGCTTCAGACAGATGTCTATGGAATGCCCCACATAACAGACCACTGACACAACTGCCCTTTTAATAACTCAATTTGTGCCTCAACTACCGAATTTCTAGCTTACATCAGGCCCACCAGTGGGCTCAGTTTAAATGAATCTGTCGTGCAGGTTGATTTCTTCTCACCCGTGTAGAATTTGGCTCTTCTAAGCACTCCCACTTACTGAATGTATATAGAGCCAATTGGTTACAAGGCCTCTTCCTTCTGAATTGCCTTTTCCCCATGTCACTCTTGTTCTTTGAGACTGTCACGAGGGTGATGGATGGGCTTTGTACACAGTCAGGCGACAATCCCTGAAAGGTATTGCTGACCTGACCTTGAATATGCCTCTCTGTCTTTCTGCATTTAGGTGGCTGGTCTGAGATATAGTAGTCAATACCCTTCTGTCACCTAGAGCATAAAGAGGATCGATGAGAAGCAAGAAGCTAGGGAAAGTGTTTGCTCCTTTTATCAACCTCCTTATTCAGCTCTATGGTTGTTTGTGTAACATAGGACACTGGGGACATTTAGAAAGGAAAGCAGACACTTACCCACCACTTAACTTCTCAGTCACACTTAGCAGCTTCCACGGTGACTGATCAAATGTGGCACTGGGCACTGTGTCTTGATTCAGTCCCTACCACTCAGTCACATAGCCTTGAGCAAATCACTTTGCATTATTTGAGTTGAAATTTTATCCTCTATAGAGTAAGGCATTTCATTAAGAAATCTCCAATAGCTAATAGCTGAAATTTCCTATTGTTGGTCTGTATGTAGTTCTGTCACCTTATTGATAAACACAGTCTTTAGTCAATTTACTCAATGAATCAAATATATTTATTATTAAAGTAACAGAATCCATTTATATTATTTCACCCCCAAGATCTGCACACCTTGAGCCTTTCGGATGCTTTTTAAGAGAGAGAAATCTGAAAGTCAATTGTTTCCTTGGCCTCAGGAAAACTCCTGATGGTCTGGCTCCCCACCTCGGTCACCACTACCCCCCTTCCAAGAAGGACAAGGGAGTAGGAAGGCTGGGGGAGTTGGTAAATCAGGCCCTAAACATTTATATGGCAAATCGCTCAGTGTATCTTGGATGCCTCTCCAGCAATTTCTGGGTATTGAGTGAGGTAATAGTGATCTATGTGGAAGAGAGTCGACTGTAAGAGGAGAGATGGGCCCGTGCTTTCATCAGCTTCATGCTCTTATTTTACTAAGACCCAGAGAGGGGGAGTGACTTGCCTAAAGCAACCCAGTGACTGAGTGTTTTCTTGGAACTCTGTCCTCTTCTTCTACTTCATCTTTCCTTGCAGCTATTTCCCAAGAGTGAGTGGCTTCTTTCTCTTTGAAAAGGAGAAGCAGAAGCTAGAGAGACATTCAGTATAGTGTCACACTGCCTTTTGTTGTCATTAGCAAATAGAGTTCTCTGTCTGGCTTCTTTCCATTATGAAATGGAAGCCAACTGGCTTGTGTCTGTACTTATTTAATTCTGAAAGCCTTCATCATAATAGTCTGGTTCAGTTTTTTTTATTAGAATCTCCAAACATGTGTGTGCTCATATCTGTTGGGACAGCTGCAGCCTGAAAACACATCTGTTTATGTGCTTTTGCTCATACTTACACACACACACACACACACACAC